AAGCTAGTGCTGCAGCTATGAGGGCTGTGCTGGAAGTGATGCTGCAGAACTGTAAATACAAATCCTCTCTCTTTGAATAACAGACCAAAAAACCCCAAACTCAGAACAAAATTTCCCTTTTAATGAAAAGCACTATGCCCCAGTGTTCGCTTTGGGGCTAAACACAGCAGATGAGTTGATTGAAATATTTCTTCTTCCCAGGAGTAGCTAAGTGCATTTGTGTACTGTGACTCTAGCTTGAAAAGAAAGGGAATGGGATGAAGGAAACAGCAGTTGCAGGGAGGTATTGGAGGAATTATGTTCTCCTTTTTTGTTTACGTGGAAGGAAGACGGGCCATCACACCTGCAGGCAGAATTCCTCACTGCTGTGCTCTGAAGAGGGACATGGGAAGTAGGTGCTTGTTGCTGCAGCAGACTGGATGCTGCACAGGGGTTCTGTCCCCTTCTCGTGCTCCATTTTACAGCCTGAAAAGATGAGGCTGTGGCTGCTCTGCTGAACAAAGCGTTCTGGTTAGCCAGAGGCTCTAAGGAGTCATGGTTCTCAGCTCCAGGTGGCTTGATTTCAGAGCTGATGTAGATGGTAGCTCTGACACAGTGAAACACTGGGAAGTTGGAGCTGGTTGAGAACTGGCAGAGCTCTGGAGGAAGGTTGGAGTATACTTTTTGTCAGAGAATCACTTCTAGCTCATAGCATCATCTATGTTGACACCTCCCAGTTGGTCCTGGAATAGTCTGAGATGGAGTGGAGGGTCTCCAGGCTTCTCGTATAACTGTGTGAGAAGCTCTGGCCTGTACAGGCAGCTTCAGGAAAAACTGCAAGAAAAGATATTATAGGTTTTTTGGTTTGTATGTGAGAGGGAATGAAAACAACATTTTGAAATTCCTGTTTTCTGGAACGTTTTGATCATTGCTTTTCTGTTTCACAACATAAAAAAAATCTTTGGGATTTCACAATTCTCCACACTGGAAATTCCTGTTTTGACAAACGCTCTTTGGTAGTGATGTCTCACTTACCAGACTCCTAAGAGAGAAGATTGGAGTGTGATCTCTTTAGATAACCTAGTGCAAGGATATTATTAAGAGTGGTTTTTGGTTGGTGGTTTGTTTTATCTGTGAATGACCCCAGAAGTAGGAATTCCATCACTTTCTTTAGGAGAGAGTGTATTTTGTCCTTGGCTCAGGGAATGGGACAATCTTCTTTGGGCTGAATTTCTAAAATGTTAAAATTGTGACCCATTTCTTTAAATCTGACTGTCTTAAAGTGGGATTTGGGGAGGAGGCTTGGTCACATATATTGTCTGGATTCCAGACCCTGCTTGCATTATGTCCTGTGTATAGTTTATTCTGTTGAAATGGTGGTTCCTTCGGACACACAGTGCCTTGCCAAGCATATACTTCTCCCAGCCTGCATTTTAGGGATTTGCTCGAAATCCAGAGTAGAAAGGATTGGAGCAAAAGTGGAAGGTTTAGAGCACAAACCTTCTCCTGCTGCTGAAACC